GTAAATTAGGCCTTAAATTTTTTGTCCCATGTATGTCTACACAGCTCTATGGACACTATATTCTGATATTTGCTTCCGCTAGCCCCTTAATTTTGTTTAATCTATTCAGAGGCCTTCGGTAATCTCAAGATTACTGGCCGGTTGCGATACTAAATCTATAAGGGCGGGTTTGGGTCATGATAACCACTTTTAGGGTTTTTGGCATACCAAGTTCAATCAATGCTGATGTTTCCTTTCATTCTGTGATTGTTGCCACAAAATGTCTTATAAGATGTTTTAGGGTTAATTCCAAAAAAAAATTAGATCTTGCCTATGTTGAATTAGTGTCAACAACAGAGTCAAATGTAAATGTCTGTCCAGGGATGGACAAAGAATCATTAGCAGTTTTTTGAACTATCAAATCTCCTTCTTCTTTATCCTTACTTGGTGGCCGCATTCGCACTATAACCTAATTTATGCAACAATTACAGCAAGGATCAGAAAAGATCGCTTAATCAATGTTTGGTTGCCCAGAAAACACCAAAAGGACAAGAAACAAAAATTTTAAATCTAAATATTTTAATCATTAGGCACTTCAAACACTAGTAATTACACTAAAGAAATAACATTCAGAATTTTGTTTTCTTTTGTTATATGACTTTTCATTGGTTATCTCTAGTAATTACACTAGCAATTCTCTTTTAGTTGTGATAGTATTTGCCAAACTTTTTTAACGCTATTGTTAGCTCATAAAAAAAGTATTAATTTTTAAAATAATATATATATATATACATTTATTTTTATGTTTTAAATTTGTTTCTTTGTGCTTGCTTTCATTTGAAGGCATAATAGTTTGGTCTTTATTGATTGATTTAAGAGAGTAATGTATTTCTTGAATTTATTACAATCTATCAAGACCATTGTAGAAACTTTTGATTTCTTCATTAATATGGTCCATACTAGATATGCTTCTAGTATGCTTGATAGTACCGATTTAGATTGCACCACTAGGATGCAATCATTAATGGTACACGTGTGCATAAATAGCCTTAGACCCATCCAAGAATCTTCATTAGAGATACCTAGTCATCTTTGATGAAGCTTTTCTTAGATTGTCCAGCTTAGACAGTTCAGGAAGATAAGTGTATATTGTAATTAGTAGTTCTATCGCTTACAATCCATCTCGTAAAGATTTTGTGTAGCAGTTCCTCATGTTCTCTAGATGCATACTAGACAAGGTATGGCAGTACACCTACTCTATGTCGTGTACTTGGAGAACCATTGGGAGATGCTGGTTTGTTCCGCTAATTGTTCGAGTCTGTAGTGATTTGGCTGAAGGGTTTATTGTTGTAATAGCAGATAATCACAATCACGTTTCAAATTTTGAATATTTTGGCATATGAGAATTGAATTAGGTTTTGGTGTTTATAGGGGTTTTAGGATTTTTGGTATTTATATATAGCAGAGTGGAATTGGGATGTCTATGAATCTGAGTTGGGGAATTTCATAAATTTTATGCTTCTTTGCATAGGAATTGACTTGGGTTTTATTTGGTGGTTTAAGAAACACTAGTAATTAGTTAGTGAGGTTTTTGGATATTGATTGATACTATGGGTGAAATTGGGGAAACTTCTAAATCTGAGTCTACTAGAGAATTGAGTTCCCAAGCTGTGAAAGCTAAGTCTTTTCATAAGGATAGTTTTTGCAAACAAGTGACTCATTTTGGGGAAGGTTTTGGGTTCTTCTTTCATGCCTCGCTCAAACAGTTTGGAAAGGTTCTAAAAAAAAATCCCATATTTACATACATATATACACACTAACATTTATGTTTTTAGCAAATGTTTTTTTAATTTATTGCTCTCATCTCTTCTCTTTGTAATAGTGGATGGGTAGGACTAAGAGGAAAGCTTTTCTCAGTGCTCTGGACAAGATCAAGGAAGGTGAGATATTGGAGTTTTTGTTTTTATTCTCTATTTTTTATTCATCATTCTGATTTTTGTTTCCATTTTTTGGGGTGTATTGGGGTTTTAGAGATGGGTTTTTATTTATTCTCAATTTTTTAAATTCATCACTCTAATTTTGGTTATCTTTACCTTTTGACAGAACTAATGCTTTTTGGACTTATGTCATTACTAATGAGTCATTGGATCATTTTTATGGCCAAGATTTGCGTTAAATCATCGACCTAAGCCAGCCGTTTCTATCCATGTGTAGTAGAGTCAAATGTTTTTGAGAGACTGTCTCTATAACACCGCACAATTATTTGCTTATTATTGTGTTAACCAAGATTGTAGAAAATTGATGTAGAAGTTCTGTTGAAATCATAGTTTTCTACTTGTCTTGTCGAATTTGTTATTTGACAGGTTTGTAATACATATGTGTGATACAATATTTTTTCCTTTTATTTTTTGGTTGTGTTTGTTGCTTGATTTTGGTTTAGAATAATCATGTAATACTTGCCTAAATTTAGTCAATATATTTGAAATAGTAGCAAAGCTTTATCCATATTATTGCTATTTTTTTGCTTTATTACAGGTATTTTTTTTAGTTAAATCTAACAGAATTAGCACAATCTCAAAAAAAAAAAATCTAACAGAATTAGCACAATCTCAACAAAAAAAAAGCTGTAACGGCATTTTCCCAAACGCCACTACAGTGGCAACGGTCATATTTTTAAAATAGGAAAAAATCTATCACGGTATTTTTAAAACGTCGTTAAATACTAGATGACATCATTTTACCATTATTTATCACATTTAGTAGCGTTTTTAAAAATACCGCCTATACTAATCTAACAATATTTTTAAAGCGCCATAATGCTATAGCGACAGTTGCATCTTTGGTATTTGGTACTAAATGTCACAAAAAGAATTAACAGTGTTTTTTGTATAGAGGCGTTTTTTAAACGTCACTAAATACAAAATTTCCAGCAGTGTGCCAACCAAACGAAATCAAGTGACAGTAGCTGCTAATATCTCTATCTATTCTATTTTTACAAACACACATCTTTTTTGATGTGAAACTGTTACATTTTTTTCATTCCCAAATTATTTTATGTGACCCCTCTATATAAAACTGATTTCGATTGTGATTTTAAATTTTAGACATTTATAACTTTAACAAAAAAAATTAAGAACGAAAAATAAATCCTCTACCTAATTGTTAATTTTCATAGCACATACGTTCGTACCACTTGTCATAGACTCAGTGAGTCGTGGACTCTCAAACTTGCCTACCAACCATTTTTGCTCCCTTGACTTGGAAGCTATATAATTGATTTTTTTTAAAATGATCACTGCAATGATTTTCCTCTAACTTTTTTATTAAAAAAAATAATTTTTATTTATTTATTACTTATCTCCGTCAATCATGTTAGCGTTAAAAGGTCGCTTTCAAGTTTACTGATGACTTTTTTTTATGTAACTATAAAAGGTTAAGTTTGCAGACTTGGATTGTAAGTAGGTACCTAATAGATGCAAATGATGTAGGCATTCAAATGCTTGGGTCCAGTTTGGTAACCTTTATAATTTATGATAATTATTAAAACAAAAACTAGAAAAATGTAGTAGGCACACATGTGTGTCTTATAAAAATTTGTTTTATAAATAAGTGAGAGAAGTGATGATGGAAGAATGTGGTTGTAGATAGTGTCGACAATCAGAAATGGTTAAGAGATGATTGCTAACAATTTAAAAGAATGACAAAAAATAATTGACAAATGTTAAAAGTGGTAACTGAAAGTAATTGTCGACAGTGGAAATGGTGGATATTTGGCAATGGTTATAGATAGTTGATGAAAGAAGTCATCGGCAATAATGATAAGAGGTAGGTGGTACTTAATTGTGGTGATGAGCGCACGCTAGGCGTAGAGTGGGCGCGAGGGTGCAAAGGGGTTTTTAGAAACAAAATTGACCCTAAATGAGTTTTTTTTATAATTTTTATAAGTATAATAAAAAACGGTAAACATAAATGTTACCAAACAAGTTATACACTAATATTTATGTTTACAAAAAAAAAATTACAAATTGCAAATAAAACCTCTTTAGATATTTATTTTCGTTTTTAAAAAATAACAAACAATTTAAAAATTTGTAGAATTCATGTACACACACACAAAAAAAGTAGTTTTCATTTATTGTAAAAGTAAGTTTTTTTCCTTCCTTTCTCTCCCATCCACTTCGGCCACCACCATGACATCCAACCACCCTCATCTTCAGTCACTGCCATTAACGACTTTCTCTGACCACTGTTGTTGGGCAACCTCTTCTGACCACCACTGCCAACCACTTCCCGTCGGCAACCATTGACAATCACTTTCAGTCATATATTTTTATCTTTTTCTTTTACCAAAAATAAGCATAAGTATGTTTAATATTATTTATAAAATAATAAAATACAAATATTACCATAGAACACCTATAGTATAACATTGTTGTGGATATTGAATATACATGTGGTGAAAATATTACAAAATGAAGACAAAATCTAAGTGAACAGATATATTTCACAGAATGAAACATAAATATGAGATAAAAAATAAGTCTCACACCTATTGTTTCATCCCGTGAATTCTCATAAAAATGAAAATGAGAACACAAATGGAAAATTTGTGAACAAAATATTGGCCATACATGCATGCTTCTATATGGTTGTGTATATACATAATTAACAACAACTAAATAAAATATAGTTTAGTTTCCAAATTTTGCAAGAACTTTAGTTGGTATATACCTTTCAAAAAAAATATTAATAGCCGGCAATTCATTCTTTAAATAAATATATACATGCATAATTCATAATTACAATTACCAAGCAAAGATCACAATAACACGTTGGTCTCCCTCCCAACAGTCAACCTCAAAGTCCCTTTCAACCCCTGATTTTCAGATTTGAAGATTTTGAAAATAAAATAAAATAAAATCATGAAAAACACTGAGTTTTGGTAATCGTGGGCACCAATCATTAAATGACCAAAAAAATATGCTACCTAAACCTTCTCCATTTGTCATATAAATTCACATCCCAATCTCTCTCTCTCTCTCTCTCTCTCCACCTTTCATGGAAAATGCCGGCAACTATCTAGCTATATAGTTCTTGAAAGGTTTAAAAGCTGGTTAGGCTTAGTCTAAACAAACCTTGAAACACTCTAAACACATCCCAAAAAGAAAAAATATATATATAAGATGTATGACACCATTTTGGCTAGAAGCTTTAGTAGACATGACCAAAAGAAGTTGGGTTGTGGAGCTTTTGTTGGTTGTCTGATCATTGCATTCAGTGTTTGTACTGTTTTTAAGCCTTATTTGGGTCCTATACCAGTTTGTAAGTTTTTTCTTTTTGTGAACTTTGAACAATATTTCCAAATGCTGTAACTTTTTCTAGTTTTTCTAGTTTTTCATTTATTTTTTTTCCAATAATTGAAATGGGTTTTTTGCAGTGAATTTGCAGTTGTTGCGGGTTGGCAGTGTCAAGATGCTAATGACTGAGGAAAGAAGAAACCCCCCGGTAATGACCGAGGAAATAAGCAACCCTCCCCTAATGAAGGAAATAAGCAACCCTCTGGTAATGAACCACCCGGTAATGATGACCGAGGAAATAAGCAGCCCTCCACCAATAACCGAGGAAATAAGCAACCCTCCGGTAATGACAGAGGAAGTAAGATACCCTCCCCTAATGACCAAGGCAATAAGCAGCGCCCATCAAATGGGTAAGTCTATATTTGGATTTTGGATTGTTTGACTTCAAATTAATCAATTATGGATTTAGTGTTGATCGTTTAAATGTTTATACGTCCAAATTTAGGTATGAAATGTTATGTTATAGATTTAAGGAACATTATTAAAGTTCCATGTAGATAAATTTGAAATAACTCCAGTAAAAATAGTTATTTGAAATCCTAGAGAGACAAAAGAAACAAATATGTTAGCTAGTAACACGAGTCGTCGTAAAAATCCTAAAATTTTTTAACATATCAACAGTGGAAACCTACTATACTTTTTATTTATCTTTACCTCAAATCCTTTCATTTCAAATGCAACCCATTATTTTAGATAATTATATTGGGAGATATATATCGGTAACTGCCATACAATCAGATTGAGAATAGCCATACATAATAATGTCAAATAAATTCCTACCATGCATGCTTACACATATTTCTATGTTAATGTTACTTCTTGTTACAGATATCCCAACAAAACAAGTCAAGCTAGTTTGCAACTTTTCAGCACCAAGGTCAGATGTCTGCGAAATGACCGGTGATATTCGGATTCAAGGCAACTCATCCACTGTTTTTGTCCCCCTAACTGACAACACGGTCACTTTGTCAGAAAACAGTTCATGGATCATAAGGCCTTACGCTCGAAAAGGAGACAGAACCGCAATGGACACTGTTCGGGAATTCACAGTCAAGACAGAAACATCTTCCAAAAACATCATCCCTCATTGCACCCACAATCACAGTGTTCAAGCCATTGTTTTTTCGACAAGTGGGTATGCCGGAAACCACTTCCATGACTTCACTGACATCGTGATTCCGCTATACCTAACCGCTCGGGAATTCAATGGAGAAGTACAATTTGTTGTAACAAACAAAAACCCTTGGTGGATTATCAAGTATCAAACAATATTGAAAAAGTTGTCCAAATATGAGATAATTGACATTGACAAAGCAGTTGGAGTTCATTGCTTCCCAAGCATGATTGTTGGTCTCAAACAACACAAAGAGTTCGACATTGACCCATCAAGGTCTCCATATTCCATGAAAGAGTTCAGAAAGTTCTTGAGAGAAGCCTACTCATTAAAGAGAGAAACCACAATCAAATTAAGAGATCAAAAAATAGTAGTTCCACTTCCAGTGCACAAGACTCCTGCCACTATGGGGTCTGGGGAAGTGAAAAGGCCTCGGCTTTTGATTATTTCGAGAAAAAGAACCCGGTCATTTACAAACGAAAGGGAGATAGTTAAAATGGCTGAAAGGTTGGGATTTGATGTGATCATGACTGAGGCGAACTCAAAAGTAGCCCCGTTTGCACAGCTCGTGAACTCATGTGATGTGATGATGGGGGTGCATGGAGCTGGCCTAACCAACATTGTTTTTCTTCCAGAGAAAGCTGTTTTCATCCAAATAGTTCCTTTGGGGAAAATGGAATGGTTGGCTAATACTGACTTTGGACAGCCAGCAAAGGATATGAACCTAAACTACATTGAATACAAGATTGGTGAAAAAGAGAGCTCTCTGAGAGAACAATACCCACGTGATCATCAAGTTTTTAGGGACCCTAATGCAATAATTAAGCAAGGATGGCTTGCTTTTAGGGCAGTGTACTTGGACAAACAAAATGTGAAGCTTGATGTGAGAAGGTTTAGAGGAACTCTGATTGAAGCTAAGAAGCTTCTGCATCTGTAAGTAATCCTGGTTTTACAGAGAAGAGGGTTTCAGTGTGCATATGTATCAGTAATCCTCATTTATTTTGTTTCTCATTTTCCAAGTTTGAAGTTCCTTGCAATCTTGCAAGGTGATTTTTTATTTATCCCCATGTTAATTAGCAACATCATTTTCTCTCTCTAGTAGTGGTTAGAAGTTTATCAATACGGTCCAATCTTCTCTCCTAATTAGAAAGAAGCAGGGCTCAATCATGTAAAAATCTTGAAATACATTTATGATAATCTGTTTTGTTCATATTTTAAGTCCCTATATATGTATATATATATCAAAGTGATTTGATAATTGTAGTCATATTATTTGATCACATTAGTCTATACAAAAAATCATTGATTTTCAAAATCATATATCTATTTTTTTAAAGACAACTGTGAAAAATTATAAATTATAGACAAATAGAAAAATCATACAAATTTTTTGTACAGAATGATGTGATTACAACAATGACATTGACATATCATTATTATAATATTTTTTGTATAAATTTTCTATAAGAATAGAATTTGTTTTTATTTTTTAAAATTATGGCTATGATTATCACAGATGATGTGACTTCAAATGTAATTCTTTGTTTAGTCCGAAATGTCAAGTAGGTTACAGTGAAATGAATAAAAGACTAGCAGGCATGAATTGGTGCCATAAAAAAAAGATACATCATAATCAATAATCATCAACCCACAAGGCACATTCAACAGAATAGATTTTAACATTAGGTAAATTATAAAACATTTTTCCTTCCAATATTGCACTCTCCACAAAAGCAGAGCGATACAGAGTCAAACACCATACAAAGGCGTCCAAAATCTCCATTTTAGTTGAGCTATTAATATAATTAATAATGCCCAAATGGCAAAATTTTAGGCACAAATCAAGACAAAGGTTTCTTAGAAGCAAGAAATGCTATATAAAATGCAACAATCTCTGCAGAATGCTAGCAATCACTCTATACAAAAACAATATCTAGCTAACTCTTCTCTTCTGTGAGGGCCTATCTTCTATTTTTTCATAGTAAGAATAAATATATGATACAAGAAGTAACAGTAACTACCTGACACGGCAGTAATTCTGGACCAAGTTCATCCTCGAGCTGAAATAGGTACCGCCTGCATCCAGACATTGACTTCCATGTCTGTAATGGCAAAGGTAAAAACCAGAGTTTCCTCTCTGGAAGGGTGGTTTTGTCCAGGGTTGGAAAGGACCGGGAACAATCTTACATCTGATCCAGTACTTCCCTTCTGGCTTATAAATAAATGAGGAGAAAGATTGACTTCCACAACTCATCTTTCTTCGCAAAGCAATCATGACATTATATTGTTTGTTCTAATTCTCTGCAGCAACTACCTCCACTTAGTAGCATTGACTTGGCGTTTCTTTTTGCTCTTCTTTAAAAGCATTGCCATATGATCAACAGTTTTCTGAGGTGACCGAGTTTCATCACCTGTCAACCATTGTAGAGCTTGAGCCGCTGCACTCTTTTCTGCAAGTTTCTTATTGTTGGAAGGCTGGCCAACAAAGTTCAATCCGTTAAAAATCACAGTAGAACGAAACTTGTTGTTTTTCAGTTGGGTTGTTTTGTAGGTGGGTGCTCCGTGTCCAGCCCTGGCAAGCAATGTTTGGAGCTCGTTCTTGGAATTATCACCACCACCATCAATACTTCTCAAGGGCGTGCTTGGCAGCATCTCTTTTGTGATCTTTTTTGAAGATGTTGGTACCTGGCGACCAAAAACAAATCTACCTTCACATTGATCCTCTGATACCAATAGTCTTACCGCTGACAGAAGCTCATTGTGATTTTTTATTTCCAGCTTGGAATTCAAAAGCTGCATCAACAAAATACAGAACGATAAAACAAATAAATAAAACAGTCAACATCAAATTGCGGGTATTTCTCAATTCAAATTAAGAGTGAGTGAGAGAAAGATTCAGCCTCGAAAACTTGGCCACATCATGTTTAGTACGAGGAAAGATTAGAGAAAGATGGAAAGGGAAGAAATAAGAAAATGAAGGGAAAGGAAGAGGATACAAATCTGTCCAGGCCACCAAAAACCATACAGGCAAGAGGGAACTAAGAACTCGTCTATTTTACTATGTAAAATGCAATTCACTTTTTTAGTAGGTTTTTGTTAGTTTTCCAAAATAAGGGTATTAAAACGGCATAAACATATTCCTTAGGGGATGCTTCTGCCATCCCTCTTTCTCTTTGCCCATATTTATCCATCCCTTGTGCCAAACATAACTGTGTTGCAAAATACTTACTTTCATTTGAATAAGTTCTTCAAGCTCATTCTTCAATCTTAGATATGTATCTGCCAAGGAAGGTTTCATGAAAAACTCCAAGTATCCTCCCAACATTTTCAAGTGTCCATCCTATGCAAAAGCAGGAAATGGTCCCAGTAAAATATATGGCAGAATAAAACGAAAGAAAATTAATTATAGTGGATATAATTTGCAAGAACCGATATTGCTGATAGTATTGACTACAGATGGAAAAAGAAACTTACCAGGCCGCCTCTAGAAATTTTTCCTCCAAATAAGAGAAGAACAGAATCAGATACCGCAGTTGAATCCCGGAGAAATACTGAATTCACTTTAACCTTGTCATTGAAAACCAGCCAAGGGTATGGAATTTTGGGTTCCTGGGCATTCACAGAATTCTGGGCGAAAGAAAAAGAAAATGCTATCCACATTAGAACTCAAATATAGAATACCTGAATCTGATGATTGTTTTATATTAAAACATGTTTATGGATGATGCCTTGCTGAACACCATACCAAAAAGATGAGAAACTTACCGAGTACAGAAGTACCTGACCATCCTCCATTGTTTTCAATGATATAGACTTCTCTTTGTTCTGTAATGATAAATGCCAATAAGTTCTAACTAGTTCATTGGCATATTAAGAGAACACTACTTAGATGGAACTCCAGGGACACTTAATTGACCAATGCAAAAAACTTTAAAATAAAATTAAAATTAAAATAAAAAAATAAAAATAAAAGCTAGAATGGAAACTAACAGTTTTGAAATACAGAGAAATTAATTAAAAAAATCAACTTCCCAAAAAAATAAAGAAAAATCCACAACTCACCACAACAGAGCATATGCCAGGGAACAGACCAGCACAGATGATGGCTCGGATTAGATGCTCATCATGGCTCCATGCGTTGCACATTTCTGTATTGTTATCAACCAGACCAGTGTCCATGAGCAAAAAAAAGAATTGCTTCCGAAGGGAGTCAATCGCTTTCAGAGTTTGTGCAGAAAGAAAATTTCTCCAACAATACTCGTAACCAGATTGACGTCTTTCAGCATCTTTCCAACCATCATAAGCCCGGACAAGAGCAAGATGGTCACTATAATCACGGGCAGAGAACTGGGCCTTTGCGGACTCTGCAAGCTGCAAGAAGTGAACAAGAGACCATTAAAGGAAACTTGTAAAATCTTTATAGATGAGAACCAACAAAACATAGAAGGATGTAAAAATAAGTAAATAAAGGGGTAACCAAAAACGAACCAGGATGTTAAAATTAAGGGCAAAAATCCATTTTAGAGCTGTGTGGTTTGACTTTAGAGCACTTCACCTCCTTGACATTTAAAAATATAAAAAAATTCTCGTGTGATGTGGTTTAGGACTAAGTGCAATACTAACTCCATTAACAAAAGGTGTGAGCCTACTAGAGATGGCGGGTTTGGTGTAAGGACTACGATTGACTCTATCCTGCCCACAAAACTCCTTTCACTTTCTTTTCTTTTTTTTCCCTAGGCTGCAGAAGCAGGGGTGAGGGGAAGATTAAGAGTTGTCCATGCAGGTTATGTCCAACTTCCTTCCAGAACTTGTACAACAAAGCAACTAACAGAAATGCGCTGGTTGCAGACTATCTGAGCTTCTCCACTTCTGGAATGATTTGGGCACCTATTTTTAATAGATCTTTACAAGATTGGGAAATGACCAGTATGGAGATATTTTTCAGGTTACTTTATGGTCTGCATCTTTTTCCAGTAAGACAGGATTTGATGAAATGGGAGAAGGGAAATGGGTTGTTCACGGTCAAATCTTTTTTCCCCTTAATTTCAAAAGGGACGAGAAAACTTTTTCCACAAAAGGTGACTTCGAAGTCTGACGCTCTTTCAAAGGTTTTGTGAGGTCGGTAGCTCTAAGCACTATTCTAGTGGTTGACAATTTGACGAGGAGAGGGTGGAGGATGACCTGCATTTGCTACAAGGCAGAAGAGACAGTGGATCATCTCCTCATCCATTGTTTTGTGGCTACGTTATGGGACCTACTCTTGTCCACCTTTGGGTGTATTGGGTGATGCCAAGCTCAGTTAAGGAGGTGACGGACTGTTGTAGTGGTTGCAGGATGAAGAGAGAAACGAAAGGTTAGATGGTGGCTCCCCTTTGTCTTATGTGGAGGGTGAGAAATAGATGCATTTTTTAGGAATCGATTTTGGGACCCAAAAGCTGAAGATGGGAATCATATACCTTAATTTTGGGTGTAAAGAATTTTTTTGTGAATCCCTTGTAATTTTATTTCTGAGCTCAATTTCTCTATTGAGCATTTTTTATGTTGTATATGGTTGCATCCTTCAGGTTTTTTTGGATCTAGTAATACAATTTTGTCTTTATTCGTCCCCCCCAAAAAAATTTTAAAACTGCATCCACAATACTCATGCTTGTATAGTCATTGTTGCACAGTGCAAAGAAAGCATTGAGATGCGATACACTTAGGTTGTAAACTTCAACTCAGGCATGCGATTCTTCACCAAGATGAGACCTAATGCTAGTTCAAAGATGAACAATATTCACTTCACTTGTCCAAATTATAAAATAAATAAATAAAAAATAAAAAAAAGAGAGAGAGATAAATCAATGCTCCATAAGTAGTTAGCAGAATAAAGCTGATAACATGGGGGTTATTATAATAATAACAAAATAACAGCAGCAACAGCAGACAAACAAATAAAAGCAGTACAGTACACAAAACCAAACGCAGTAAAATTGAGCACCATCTGCAACTATAACACAAGGTAAGCTAACTTACATCCTTCTTGTCAAATGGCATCAAGAATGGATCTCTGACACTTAGACCAGCAACAACAGTCATCATTGGATCTAGGCAGTTGAAAATAGCTCCTAATAAGAGCATTTTCCCCAGTTTGGGCTCAACTGGAAGCATTGACAAGTTTCGTCCTGTGAAGCAATGAGCATGACATAAGGTTTGTTTTCAATGAAGTAATTATAGAAGCATTTTCCAAAAACAGATTAGATAGATAACTGTAGTGAGCAGAAAATGGATAAAAGTTGAAACTAAACGGATCTTTTGTACCTAGAACAGTTAGATTTTCATTCTCATCCAAAGCCCCAATGATCATCAAATATTCAATCGCATTTTGAACCTGTAAATAAAATATTGTCTAGATGAATACTAGGAAAAAGAGCAACTAAATTATACTAACAAAATGAGTATAAGCACAATGATACCACATTTATGCTTGGAAACTATAAAATAATAAATTCCAGAACATTATATGCTTTCTAGATTGCACTAAAAAGGTCTGTGGATCACAAGCACACACGTCATCTGAAACTTACAGATAAAGGCTCTGGTGGCTGCAAGGCCCTTGATAGGAAATCGGAGATACTCCCAAGTTGTAAGCTTTTGATTTGCAAGCATAGAGACTGCAACGGTGTCCTTAGAAGTTCAGGAAGTTGATAATCAGCAAAAGCATCATATACACATCGGGGATAGAGATGGTAACACTCGCCCGGTTGAACACGACCAGCTCTACCTCTTCTCTACAGAATGGAGGAGAAAATCAGTATTACTCATCCACATGATAATACAAAGATTTGCATGGAACTACAGCTACTAAAGCGTCAACCAAATAACACTATTCAAACAATGATTTTCCCACCAAATATAATCCATAAGCTATCAACAAAATCAAATGCAAGTCAGAATAATTTACCTGCCGAGCGGAAGCCTTTGAGATCCATGAAGGAAGCAGACATGGAGTGTTATTCAGAGCATCATATGATGTCTCTTTCGCCTTTCCACAGTCAACCACAAAGACCACATCATTAATTGTGATGCTTGTCTCAGCCATGTTAGTGGCCAGAACTATTTTTCTAACTCCATCTTCAGGCTTATCGAATATTAACCTCTGGAATGCAAAGAAAAAGAAAAGTGAGAAAGATAAAAAGCATTAGCAAACAAATTAAATTTATATTTTCTCAGACCAAAATAGTAATAAATTACTTTTCACATTCTAAATATTGGAAAACAAGTGTAAACAAAAAGTCCCGATATCTCTTTTAAAGCTCTATTTATAACTGAAAATTTTAGACCTAGAATTCCTGAAGTTAAAAAGTCTAAACGATGTGGAATTAATGGGGTATAAATCTGTATTATTTTATTTTATTATTGGATTCCAAGTTTTTTTTTTTTTCAAACTTAAAATGTGCTTCATGTAACAATATAAGAACGTACCCCAAGTGTACAAAGTGTGTCTGGTTCAAAAATAATAATAAAACTCGTTTGGATGCAAGTCCAACATGTGTCAGAGAGTGTCTGAAGAGTGACGGGACACAAACACAAACTTGCAATGTGCTTCATGTGTATCTAAACAATATAAGAACGTACCCCAAGTGTACAAAGTGTGTCTGATTCAAAAATAATAATAAAACTCGTTTGGATGCAAGTCCAACATGTGTCAGAGAGTGTCTGAAGAGTGACGGGACACAAACACAGCACCTCCCGAGAAGATTTTGTGTTTCTTAGCTTTTAAACATTTTCCATTAAATTAATTGTTGGAAATTCCCTGCGATGCATCACTTTTTTTAAACTTAAGGCAATAAAAGATGCACTCAAACATAAAACTCACCAAACTTAGAAAACCACAATAGTATCTCCATGACATCCTCCCTATTCCCTAACTAAAATCCAACACTGTTGAAAGAGTACCATAGTCTTCCAGTCAAGCCTAAGGGCTTTATTCGCACTCCACTACATCAATGTTTCTGCCTCTATACCTTTCAACAATATATTCTCCAATTATTCCTAATCCTTCTCTAAACAAGTAAGCCCATGCCATCCAACTTTGTTTCCCTCTTGACAGAATACAAATGAAGGCCCACATAAAACTGAATAATCACTTCATCCTCCTGTCCAGTCATTTCCTCTCCATTAACTATGATCTCCCCAATAAAATTGGACCACATTATTACTATTCATGAACCTATTAAAAACTATGTATTCCTATCTCGTTTCAACAAAAATTCCATTGACTATTGTATTGAAAATTGCTCTTAAGCGAGGGCTTAGGCGAGAAGAGATGTCTAAGCCAAGGCGACTTCAGTGAGGCAAGACGAGGCCGAGGCACTTGTCTTATGCTTGGGCATGAGATGCTCACAGTAGTGGTTTTTTTCCCATTATGATTTGGTCTCAGCCATCTATTTTTTGTTGTAATAAAGACCTAATGCTATATGCACACCGAATCATAGCTTATAACTAGGGGGTACGTCTTTTTATTTTTATTTGTTTTTTAATATTTTCGGCATAATAAGAACTTTTTCTTCACTTTAGCTAAACAACATCATACTTTGGCCAGTGCACGGAACAAAATTATTTACTAATCGGTTATCAATTCTTTGCTTTTTATGTTTTTAAATGTTTAATTTTTAGTGTTTGCTGGATGCATTATGTTTTTGTAGGATATTGGTATTTGAAATGTTGGATTTTGTTGTATGTTTTACATTTTTTATGAACATTTGGAATGTTGGAATATTTGGAATATTGGATGTATCATGCTTTTTGGAATTGTTGAGTTTTTTCTAGAAAACATGGACATTCCAAAATGGTTGTTGTCCCCGTGTCCAACACTATCGGACACCAACAGTGACTGAGCCAAAATTTTTGAATAGTTGATGCAATAAAATGAAAAATCAGAAAGGAAAATTTCAAAATCCACATGCCATAAAAGAACCTCCAAGATTTGGATTTTTATGAATTAACATATTTCTCAAACACAAGGCGAAGCTGAGTGTGGCAATTATATGGTAAAACTTGGGTGACATGCATAGGGGTAAACAGAAAGTGATAGTTAAAAAAAAAACAGTTGGTAAAGTTACCTGCTCAGAGCTAGCCATGGAACCATGGCATGCAAGCAGCAAAACTTTGCTTGGATCTCCCAAGAGTGGATGACCTTGGAGCTGATCTTTCAAAGAATTTATATCATCCCAACCAGTCATAAACACCAAAACAGCACCAGGCCTTTCCTTTTTAATAATATGGCAAAGCACGTGTTCAATGAGATTAAAGCCAATTGAATCTGGATTCCAACAGGATAAAGATTCCCGAGTTCGTGGACTATATTCCCTAAAATCAGCAGCTTCAAGTGCATCCTATTCCAGATGTAAAGTTGAAGATTAAGAGAGAAAACCAGAACCGTGCAACACAAAATGAGGAGGTGACTTCACAAGATTTTTATACCTCTACAGCTGAAGCAATTTGGCTCTTCCTCTTTCTGATAGCTTGTTTCTCCATTTTCCACTTCTTTTCTTGACCATAATTATCAATTTGATTATATGGATTTAGCCTATACCCAGTCATTTCCAAAATGTTCTCCAGAAACTGACTTCGAACTGGGTGCGTAAAGCCCTGAAAAGAAAACACCCCCACCCACCCCAAATAAAAAAAGGTGAGTCCGGTAATTATTACGCATTGGAGTTACTTTGGATTTAAAAAAGATTACAGAGCACTTATATTTTGATCTGGTTAATAATTAATTCATAAAAAAAATAAAAAAACAACACTAGGCAAAAGAAACAAGGCACTCAATGCAGTGGCTGTTGGGCATGAGAATGCAAGTTTAATTATATAATTGATATGCATCAAAGTTACTTTTAATTGAAAAAGATTGCAGACATTTATATACATGCTATAATTATGTCACCACTTTGATCCTATAAAAAATAGGCAAAAGAAAGCCATTGCTCACTGCAGTGGTTGTTAAAAAGTTAACAAATTTATGCCAGAACAACATTGGAGAAAAATATAACCATTATTATAATCAGGGCACTGGTTGATTAGACCTATATATAAGATAGAGTCAATCCTATTCTAAACTTACAGGAATATGGATCATAGGAGCACCACCAAAGTATGAGGAGAAAAGCTCAGCATTCAGGGTTGCACTCATCAAAATCAACCTCAATTCTGGCCGACGAGGAAGGAGCTCCTTTAGGACGATAAGGAGAAAATCTGAAACGAAGTGCAGAGTTCATATCCAAACACTAGAAAATGGAAGTTGAATCAACTCCAGAATTACCTTCATTCATCCCACGTTCATGAATCTCATCAACAATCACATGAGTTATCCCTTTCAAGTTTCTGTCAACAAGCAATCTCCTTAACAAAATGCCGGTGGTGCAAAAAAGAAGGCGAGTATCCCTTCCTTTCATTCCCTCTAACCGTACTTTATAACCAACCTTTGAAAGGAAAGAAGGGAAAAAAAATAGAGAGAGAGAGAGAGAGGAATTTAGTTTCATCTGTCAAAGAGAGTGTAACTATTGACAGGCTTGAGGCTCTGCATCAAGAGTCCAATAAGCAAAGGCAGAAACATACAGATTCTCCAAGATTCTCTCCTCGCTCTGCAGCAACTCTTTCGGCAACTGACATAGCAGAAATACGTCTGGGCTGAGTACAAATAATACTACAGGCAGCTCCACGAGCAGCTTCAATTTCAGACTCCAAGATGTATTGAGGAAGTTGTGTGGTCTTACCACATCCTGTTTCACCAGATACAACCATCACCTGCAAAATCATTACAAATATATAGAGATATTTCATGTTCATGCCAGTATCAATAAGATATGCTTGAACATAATTTTATCTCCAAAGTATTGTATAGTTAACAAAATATCATTCAATAAATACTCTGGGCTCCATAGTGTAGAAAATAATCACAAAGTAGAAGTTAAGAAACATAAAATGTGAAGAATGATGACATATTATCCAAAAGCACACGGACAGTTGTTCCAGTGTCCAGATACAACCAATCATTTCATTGAAAACGAAGAAATGTTTGCCAAATCCTGTATATCATTAGATATTTCAAAAAAATAAGAAAAAATATATTAAAAAATTAAATTAAATTAGAGGCTGCGGAAAGACAGACTACATACATTATGCCATCAAATTCTAAAAAGGTACTGCCTTCACAGGTCTTCTCTAGTCAACTCAAATACGAATGAAGTACTAAATTGAGTTCTACAAACAAACAAGTCATAAAGTACCTGATTTTGTGAAATGGAGTTTAATAATGCATCTCTCGCTTTATATGCTGGGAGACTTCTACGAAATTCTACCATCTTCTGGCCTTCCGGAGATTCCTATAACATAGGCATTTGTCAAGACAACATCTGGAGGTACTGAATTAAACATGAACTATATCATTTTTCTTGTATTAAACAAGATAAATCAACCAATATTCTGTCAAAGATAAACTACATTCTCAGTGAATATGCGCCTCTACAGCCTTCCTGTGCTACCAATTTACCTTAAAATATAACAATCAGCACAAATTTAAAAATCCACAAGCAAACATACCAGTGATAAGCAATAGTAAGGCTGTGTAGTCAACACATCCCGCTTAAATTTCAAGTTTATCAGCAATATTGGGCTTCCATAACTCAAATTTGGTTCAACTTTCTCAACATACCCGTAAACTGTCTTCTACATCGGTCCGACATGACCCCGTAAACTGTCTTCTACATCGGTCCGACATGACCCCGTAAACTGTCTTCTACATCGGTCCGACATGACCCCGTAAACTGTCTTCTACATCGGTCCGACATGACCCCGTAAACTGTCTTCTACATCGGTCCGACATGACCCCGTAAACTGTCTTCTACATCGGTCCGACATGACCCCGTAAACTGTCTTCTACATCGGTCCGACATGACCCCGTAAACTGTCTTCTACATCGGTCCGACATGACCCCGTAAACTGTCTTCTACATCGGTCCGACATGACCCCGTAAACTGTCTTCTACATCGGTCCGACATGACCCCGTAAACTGTCTTCTACATCGGTCCGACATGACCCCGTAAACTGTCTTCTACATCGGTCCGACATGACCCCGTAAACTGTCTTCTACATCGGTCCGACACGATAAACTGTCTTCTACATCGGTCTGCCATAACCATACAGTCTTCTACAACGGTCTGACACGACCATACAGTGTCTCCTATCCATTTTTTATTTTTCAGATTATTTTCTTGTTTTGTTACTCTCTCCAAACTCAAGTTGGTTAGTTCCTATCCCCCTTGAGTTTGCGGGGGGCTGTTAAAACCTACCATCACCTACTCCACCTACTACACCTACCACCACCTACTACCACCTACTACACACCTACCACTACCACCTACTACCACCTACTCCACTACATCTCCTATATAAGGAGCCCCTCACCATTTGTAATAAACATATATCAATAAATAATACAATCATTTCTCTTTATACATTAAATTTCTACAGAATGATATATTCATATATATAACATATAATAAATATATAAAATTATATATTTCATGTGTGTCCCCCGCGTGTTGTGTCCTGCATTTTTTGAAAATTAGCATGTCGGCGTGTCCGTGTTGTGTCGCATGTCCGTGTACATGCTTCTTAGGTCCACATTATCTCTCTAAGAACCCTATCATATACTCTTTTTTATCAACAACCCTATCTTTTTTCTTTTTTCTTTTTTTTTTTCTAAATCAATGAAACACACTATGAAGGTCCTGTTTTCTAATATTTTTCCATTAGTCGCCTACAAAAGTAACTTTAATAGTAGATAGATCTCTCCCAAGCATAAAACCAAATTGGTTTTTTTTTTTGAACTATTGTCTCTTGTATTAATGTGCTCTCAATTACTCTCTCCCAAAGTTTTATTTTATAAATTGTTAGTTTAAAACAACAATAATTAGTGCAGAGTAAATACCACATTTGTTCTTTTATATTTGAAACTTTCTTTTCTTGCATTCATCAGGCATTTTCTTCAAATTCAAGATCTTACCCAAACATTTTCAAGCTTCAATAGGAATTTCATTTGCTCCTGCAACTTTTCTCAAATTCATCTTCTTCATAGCCTCCTTTACCTATGATACTCTAATCGAAAGAAAGTATACTAATAATATTGTTACCAAGTTCTTATAAGCCCAAGTTGCTAGAGAGTGATTTTATTAAATAGTTTCTCAAAATAACAACTCCACCATTCAGATCAATCATCAAACCAAGAAAACATTTCAAGAAAATAGAAGACCAAACTAAGATTTTCAAATTAATAGACTATGCATATGAAAAGGGAAATTTATACATGTTCACCTTATTCATTCTCCCCTCCACACTACCTTCAACCATTTTCATGTTATGAACCTCACTATGATTCTGCTAAAGGGCGAAAAAGATAAGCAAAGTACAAAAATTAGGATCATATTGCCTACTACCTTTCCAAGCACCAATCCACCATTTATTAGGTCCATAAGAATCACATAAATAATAGTCAAGCTAAGCCAATAACCTCCTTGAAACAGAAAGAGATAAAACCATGTCTGGTTATCATAAACTTTCCAAATTTTAACTAGATAACCTCTCCTACTTGGTTGAGCATTCCTCCTATTATCCTCCACATACTCCAAATTGATTTTTCTATAGTAAAGTAAACAAATAATTATGGGGTATCAACTGCTGCTGCGATTTCATTTTTCAGCATGTAAACTAATTAATTATGCACTTAGGCCTCGTTTGGGAATAGGTTAATTTAGTAACTTTTTGGCTATTTGGCTAAAAAGGTAGGTAAAAAAAACTTGTATGTTTGGGATGACTTTTTGGCTAATTACGAAAAGATGTGCAAAAAGTAGAGAGAAAAGAGAATCTTTGACTTTTTGGTATGGGTTGTTGGCTTTTTGGCTAATTTAATAACTTTTTGGCTAATTGGCTAAAATAGCCTCTTGCCAAACGAGGCCTTACTGTCTAATTTCAAATTATTTCATTGAAACTTAAGAACGAGACAATAAATGGCACATTTTTTCATTTGCAAAAAAAAATGGTTTAAATATAACCCCAAGACATAACACTTCATTCTATGAAATGGTTTAAATATAACCCCAAGTGATGTGTGTTCATTCTGTAAAGAGAAACTTCCCTCTAAACGTGGGATGGGTAGTTATATTGGATGTGCAGTAATATTGGATGGGTAGTTAGTCCTTCCAATTACAGTGGGTAAAAGTTGAATTAATTTGTAAATAAATAACTATTGAAGGATATTTTAGGAATAAGAAAAATTGACAGAACATCAAATACAGGAGACACCACTTGGTGTTCTCTTTTTATATATTGTTAGGTCCCTTTGTTTTGTCAATCCTATGAACAAACATCGTTTATCGAGTTGTAAGTTTCCTAGTTGTTTTGCCTTGCTCGCTCAAGCGAAGAAGTCCTGGCTTGAGTGCAGAAGTTGTGCTCCCAGAACTTTCTTTGTCTGCAAATATACTGGGAAGGAAGATTGTGTGCTCGAGCGAAGAAAGCTTGGCTCTAGCTCGAGCGGCAAGTCCTGCGCTCGAGCGGAGATCGCGGCCTTGTTTGCTATAAATATGCGATTCAGTCCGTTTTTAGGGTTAAGGCTTTCAGATCTATTTTGAGGGCTCTAGGGTTTTCTTTGGGGGCAATTTTACTAGTTTTCTTTTGATGTTTGCTTGAGTATGCTCTAGGGTTTTCTTTGGGGGCAATTTTACTAGTTTTCTTTTGATGTTTGCTTGAGTATTAAACTCACATGGTTTGTCAATTCACATCAAAGGGGTTGTTTGAGTGATCATCTTCAAGAGTGTTCTTCTTCGGTGGAATCCGGAGATTCAAGTGTGGAGTGTTCAAAGGTGTTTGAAGCTGTGCGCAGTCGTTGAGTCAACGTGGACGTTGTGAAATCAACATCAATCTAATCAATTCTGAGATGAAGGTTGCGGTGGAAGAACTACAAATCGTTGAAGACAAATTGACAGAGTTTGGATAATTTGTTTGGTTGTTTTGTATTATTTCTTTCCTTTATAGTGGATTGATTTGTGGCGTTTCAGCCGTTGTTTTTTAATCACAATTAGAGGTGCTCTAATTGTGGTTTTTCTACGTAAAAATTATTTGTGTCGATTTATTGTTTTTTGAAACAACAATCTAAATTACTTTCATACGTGCTTGATGATTTAGATTGTTAGTTTTAATTGTTTGGGAACTGGTACAATTAATCTTGAGCCCAATCACGAATCGCTTAGGTTTTTCAATTGGTATCAGAGAAGGTCACTGTTTGTTTTTATCAAAACTATATGTGTGATTTTGTGTAATTGATGATATAGATTCAATTCATGAAAGTAACTCGACCCATAGACCTTCGTTACTTGATGGTACAAACTATTCTTATTGGAAAGCTCGTATGAGAGCGTTTTTAAAATCTATCGATGAGAAAGTTTGGCACTGTGTAATCTATGTTGTCACCATTGATGATGTTGATATTCCCAAACCTCTTGATAAATGGGACGCATTTAATTATCAAAATTCGAGTTGAAACAGTAAGGCTCTCAATTCCCTCTTTTGCTCCGTCACACCTGAAAAGTTTCATCATATTTGTACTTGTGAGGTAGCAAAAGAGGCTTGGGATATTCTTGAAACTATTCACGAGGGTGCTACTTCTGTTAAAAGGTTAAAACTTCAACGTCTCACCTCCTCTTTTGAAACTCTTTTTATGCGTGATGATGAAATGTTTGATGATTTTTATGCTAAACTTAATGACATCGTGAATTCTTGTTTCGCACTCGGTGAAAAAATCCCTGAAGCTAAAGTTGTTGGAAAAATTTTAAGGTCTTTACCCAAGAAGTTCTGATCAAAAGTCACAACTATTGAGAAGGCGGATGTTGATACCCTCAAGCTTGATCAGTTAGTTGGAAACTTGCAGACTTATGAAGCCCACCAAATTTCTAAAAAAAAAACAAAAAGATAGTGTAGTTTTTACTAGTGCTCATGAGACTGCTAAGACCCATGAGATTGAGTTTAATCTAGAGTCCGAAATGACGGCTATGTTTACCAAATAGTTCAAAAAAATTTAAGGAAAAAGAAGCCTAATTTCAAATATCCTAGTTCAAAAGATAAGGGTAATGAAAAACCCAAAACTTTTCCACCAAAAGTTGCCCCAAAAACTGAAAAAAAGACTGTGAAGGGGCAAGGTGTCAAGTGCTACGAATGTCAAGGGTTTGGTCATATTGCTCTTGAATGTCCATCGAAAAATAATCGGAAGAAAGTCTATACAGTGACTTGGGATGATGAAAGCGGGTCAGAGCAAGAACTCGAAGAAACCGAA